ATTTTTCTGGGCTTAACTTTACAATTTTGGAATGTTTTTATTTTTAATTTTTTAACTAAAATAACACATTTATTCGAACCGAAATTTTGAAACATCGAAAAATCTAAAAATTGAAAATTAGAAACACTTTTCTGATAGTTTAAAGTTACATGGCAATCGCTGATCAAAATTACTTTTTACTCCCTTCCAAAAACTCGGTGACAAAAAATCAAAAATCGAAAATTTAAAAAAATAAACATCCATTTTTTCGATATTTTTAAAAATCAAATAATTGAGAAATCGGAAAACTGCCAAAATTATGAAATTAAAAAATCGAAAGTTTTTTTCAGTTGCCCAGAGAAATCAAAAATCGAAAGACATCAAAAAATTGAAAATTTAAAAAGGAAAAATTGAAAAATTCGAAAGTTAATTTGGCAAATGATCTACTCTCTAAGAAAGCATTTGCCAAATAACCTACCCGCTAAGAAAATAAAAGGCAGGTGGGCCGGGCTAGTATTTGCCAAAATAAGTTTCATTTTGGCCAATTCTCTTCTAAGAAAGTAAAGAATAGGTCATCTGCCAAAATCAATCTTATCTTCGCAAGTATGAGACTGATTTTTGCAAATGACATATCCTCTAAGAAAACAAGGGTGGGTGGGCGGGGGTAGTACTTGTTAAAATAAGACTGATTTTGGCAGATGACCCACTCTTCTAAGAAAATAAAAAGTGGGTGGGCGGGTCTAATCCATTTTCTTAGAAGAGCCTTTTATTTCCTTGGAGGGTAGGTTATTTGGCAAGTACATACTAACAAATTTCGATCCATTTTCGACGACTTTCGAAATTTAACTAAATACTTTTTCTTGTGAATTTCGGGGCACAAAAATCACTTCCGGCCCTGATTTCTTTGATAAGTTCAACTTTTTTTTCCAGAATTAGGTAATTAATTCAGTGCATGGAAATATCACAATTTTTAAAATTTTCAAAAAATTCAATACAACACGTACAGAAAGAAGATCTTGCGTCATTTTTGCAAGCAGGTGCATGTTTTCAAGTTCAGTTCGGATTGCAGAGTTTTTGTTCGGATTAAAGAGATATCGACGTGGGTTCGGATTATAAGCACTTTTTTATTGACTTACATGCTAAAGGACTCAGTTTCAAAATTACTATTGATCATTAAATTATTTTATTGAAATATTTGCGTAATTGTTCTCAATTATTTTTGTTGTAGCTCACATCTAGTCTGTTCAAATACGATATGAATCAATCGTTTGTGTAGTCGAATTATTCATATAATATGCAATTACTTTAACGTCAAATAACATGGAAAAACCAACAATCTCTTTATTTAGCTTGCAGTTATATACATTTTCATATGTTTGCAAAAACTTGTCCTACTTTGTACTGTATTTAGTTGTTAATTAACTTTTCCTAGATTAGTTTCCCAATTAGAAATAAAACCTGTCGCCAAGAAGTAATAAAATCAAAAGGAAATTTGGCATAAATATTACACAATAATGATAATATCAGTAGAATACAACAAAATGCCACTAGTACTTTGTTAATTAAAACGACCAATTATTTAACAAAGTTTAGCTTTAATTGAGTTATACACATTAATTTACATGATAATAATAATTTTTAAATGAAACATTAAAAAATAATAAATTGTTCAATGATTACTGTATGTGGGTATAGATTGATACCTTTTAACTATTGTCATCGGTGCAATCTCGGAAGTGTGAAGTTTAAATTAAGTTTTATTCAAATTTCAAGTGTCCAAGTAAAAGCAAAAAACTCATTACTGTAAAATACCTACAACCAAAAAATAAACGCTCTGTATACAACCGAAATATTTCAGTGATTATTTCTATACCAACTCATTGATCTTATAGATGAATATTGTCTGCTGATGAGCTCCCGGATATAAAAAGACCTCTTAATTCCTAAAAAGGAAAAAGAATGCATGAGTAACAGAAGGTTAACATTTCACTGGACGTGCGTAAACAGTATTTTGCACCGAATAAAAAAAAATGGAATTCTTCTGGAATGTTTGACTGTTTTGCAGTTCTTCTCAGCCGGCGGACTTCCTGTTGCTTTCTCTGCTAACTTTGGACGTCATTGATGGTTATGTCTGCAGCAAGTCGCAGCCCATCATTGTATCATTCATTCCATGGAAGTGAATTATTGCTTAAATTTAAATTGATGAACTCACTTCTCTTAATCAATCGAAAGTACGCTCGATGTCTGATTTTGTTCCGGTTTCTTTCGTGAATTTCTCATCGTGCAAAATTGTAACCAGACAAGATGCTGTAGAATGACACAAAAGGTGCCAACCACCGAATAAATTGCGTTATTATTGAATTTCTGTGTTCTTGGAAATATCACAAACCATAAACAACAAAATTATAGTTCGTTGGTTATGGTAGGTAAATTTACAAAGAATTTATTCGTGGATGGATAGTTAAAATCATGTTAATTAACTGTGTACTGCAAATCATATCCGTTCACCTTGTTCGCAAATGTCTTTTTTGACCTACGAATTCGTGGTGTCATTTATCAATGTTTTGCCAGATCGGTACATGGAAACTTGATTTTTGCATGCGAGTAGTTATTACTTTTAAATTTCAGGTCATTCGTAATAATTATGTCATTAAATAGTAATTGAGAACTTCAGTGTTATTAATTATAAATAACATTAAGCACGGGGATTAAATGCTTCCGGAAACTGCGCAAATAATACGGTATTATAGACAAATTAACAGAAAAGTAACTTTGTTGGATTAGTTATTATTAAATGAAACCCAAAAATACGTGTTATAGAAGTTGCGACATATAATAGGTGTGCATAAATTTTTATTTGCCTTTAATTTTTTCCGCGATAATGTTTGAAATTGTTCATTTATCATATAAATAGGGAAGGCAATATTGATAACGTTGTTTGTTCGTTTGTTGTACAAAATAAAATAAAATTGTTAGCACCAGTGTTTTGTAAATAGATTTTTAGCAAAACTTTTGATAATTTATTTTGGTTAATGTAACGCAAAATATCATAAAATTTATAATATCTTAGTTGTATTAGAGTTCGTTTTTTATCATTGTCCTTTTGTTTGTATATATTGTATATATATTCAAAAATATACATATTTAAAAAAAATGATACATATAATTTTTAATTCCAATACATGATGGTATTCATGGAAACCTTACCGTCAGGGTTTTAAAACCACTTTAAAACATACAATATTGGTTAAATTAATAATTTTATTCGTTAAAAAAACTCCTCAAGGATTCTAGTTTCGGTCAGTTCTTATTTTGGGTTTTTTTGAATGATATTATTGAACATACGCCTTCCAAGAACATGTTATTTATCGACTACTCAGATTTGTATGAAGGTTACCATGTTGAAAATTGAAAGCTTCTTAAAATTAGTCGTCAATTCGTACAAAAATGACGTGTTAGCACTTAAATTTTGTATTTGGTATAGGTAAGGGAATTATTTTCAGATTAGTTTTTATTTAATTTAGTCAATTATAATATCTGTTCTATGCCTTATCCACTGTCATCAGTAAATAGCGACTAATATTAATGTGGGGACTAGATCTATTGTTCTCAAGTGTGAGCCATTTAAAATTTAAGAATTTCAGTTATTCAATGTAATTTAAATGTTACTCGCACAATGTTCAATAAGTCCGTTGCTATTTTATTAGTCAAACAGGAAAATATATTTTATTTTTTATTAAAAATACAGTAATTACTTTTTGCAAAGAACGCTACAAGGCATTCCAATTTTTTTTAACTGTTTCATTGTTCTGTTGTAATAAGGTATTTCTAGACCTCTAATCTAAATATGTATATATATGTTAGTTTAACGATTTGTCTCTGCTTGTGATACATGTTAAATGATGAGACATACCTAGAAATTCGTTCCTGATATAAATCAAATCTCTTGTTGTAGAAATACGCGGAGAAAATTTTCTCAATCAGAAAATAGGCTACGACATTTGCCTTTGAAGTGGAAGGTTCAACAGAAATAATAATTATAAGATAAGTCGAAAAATTCAAATATGGATTTTACCTGGACTTTAATAACCAACTCGAAGTCATTGTCATATATTTGATTGGAGGCATGTACTCTAAATATTTGTTTTCAGATAAAGTTAAAGGTAATGTAAAATTTTCGAAAATGTTAAAGCAATACTGCAATAATTTTAGTTGTTGTATAACTTATTGATCTAAGAATTTTACCGGTTATAAGATGTATTTGGATTAGAAACATTTTACCCACAGTCTGATGCAATATTGCCCAGCAACTGCGATATAACTGGAAATCACTTGTGATAGAATCTTGACATGAGAAACCTTCTCTCAATTATATTAAACAAAGAATACATACTTATGTTGTTAAGTAATTTGATTACTGATTAGACAAAAAAATGATGATTCAAACCATTCTTTTAACAATTATTATTTTACCAATTCTCATATTAAAGTTTATTATTTTAATAATATGGTTTATAGTTGATTTCATCTTTACCCTGTATACAATTGTGTCCTTCCATCCATTGATAGTGATGAACATTTTAATTTATATACAAAAAAAAACACCTACTACACCATAAAGAATGTATAACTTTGAAGCAAAAATATCTGTAAAGGTCAGAATGAATAGTATTTTACCTATTACTTCAAACACTTAGCTTCCAGCTTAACGACAGAACTAAATTTAGAAAAACATTCGCCATAAATGTCAGTTTAAGACTGCAGAATGGCTTTGATTTAAAAAATCGCTAAAGTTCTTAGATTACGCCTGGAATTTAAATTCTCATTTTATTAAAAGTAAGCGTCTTTAACATTAAACGTGTTTGTTTATTAGTTTACATTTAATTGAATCAGAATTTATGCCATCTTGTTGCCAAACAGCTTCTCAGGAAGATTTCCTGAACGACAACGAAACGATTATTATTACCATAATGTAAAGGTTAAAATACCGTCAAGATTAACGGCCATAATTATTTTTCCAGATGGTATTTCCGAAAAATCAAACGAATCGAAGCCGAGAAGAAACTCTTACTTCCAGAAAACGAACACGGAGCCTTTTTGATCAGAGATTCGGAGAGCAGACATAACGACTACTCTTTATCAGGTAATTTAAAGTCGACAAACAGAACCGACCTACTCCAATGACATTTTTTCTGTATTTCCAGTTCGTGATGGAGACACGGTGAAGCATTACAGGATCCGACAGTTGGACGAAGGAGGCTTCTTCATCGCACGAAGAACAACATTCAGAACGCTACAAGAATTAGTAGAACATTACAGTAAAGACCCCGACGGTCTGTGTGTCAATCTGTGCAAACCGTGCGTCCAGGTCAGTCACACAAAAAGCATACGACATAGAATAAAGTGGTAACAGCTGAGGCTGTTATCACATTTAGCAGCTATTGATTGATGTCAATTTAACTTTTTGTTTTTTAATGCTTGTTGCATACAGAATTTCTTAACGATATCAGAGGTACGTCTGTTTTAATGACATAGTTCTTTGTTGTTTCAGTTCTTACACTCTCGTTACTCTATTTACACTGTTTTATTGAGTCAATAGCTGTTTTCAGTTCCTTAGTTTTATCTTCATCCGGCGACCGGGCGCGCAATGGAAAATGAAATTTTGCAACGTTTCATGACTCAACTGAAATTGGCATAAATAGGGAGGAATTTAGATCGTTGATTTTGGAAGTACAATACTGTTAACTTGTTAACTTATTAATTTTTACTTCCCGGACTAAGTATTGTAATAGGGTTAAGCTTTCAGAAATTGGTAAAATATAGAGTATTAAATAGAATATTTTTATTGTTTAGCAACATAACTTTTTAAAAAGAAATATTAAAAATGTAGAACTCTTCCAGAAAATGTTTGTAATTTTCTCAGTCTTACAAAATGAATGTAAATAAAAACGGTGCCAAATTTTTTATTTTGTACTGGCTGTATTTACAAAATTTCTAGTTCTAGATCTCCCAACGATAAATGAGTTTCAATATTTCTAGTAGATATGTTTTTTTATTTTAAAAAATAGAAAAGTATTTTAGATTGTCGATGCATTTTTTATAAAAAACGTTTTACTAATTTCTTCTTTGTATGTAGATTTTTTATTTAATTGTTAAGGTTCATGAATTTCATGCGTCTTCTCTTTTATTAGCAATCTTTGCCTGTCTCGTAAGCATATAATTTAATCACATACTTTGTATTTGCAAAAAATTCGCTCTATATTGTTACATTTTGTAGTAGTAATTAAATTTAGAAAGCAACGGTAGAATTACACCACAATGTACATACACAAAACGTACCAAACTATCTAAATTAGGATTACTTGTTCATACAATATGTTCATTTCACGTTTAACTGATACATTTTTCACTATAACATGAAACACAATCAAACAATTCCAGTTTCTTAAATAAATTATAAAATTTGAATTTGCAATTTTTAAATTTTATTTTTAATATAATACTTGAAATTGAAAGTGGTTTAAGGAACTACAGATAGAAAAGCTTAATATGCTTTAATAAAATTTTACGATGACGTTATCAACTTTTTAGTAGGGGCAAATATATCAATTTAAATAAATAAAGTGGCATACTATCAACGACAATACTGAATTTGCGAATTTCAGGAAAATGAAAATAAGACTGTCTGAGAAAGAAAAACAGGGGAAGGGATGAAGGGAACAATCTGAATATCGATTTGCCATGTTCATGACAATTTTAAAGCGTGTGCAAAATTTCAGATCAGATCATATTGCCGTTTCTAAATTAAAAAATAAAAAAGTTGTTGCACTATAGGTATTGAATGTACGATTTCAAAAGCAAGGACAGATTAATCAATCACAATTATTAAAGAATGTTATGTTGTAGACTATAAATAGGATTTACTAGAAAAATTTTACACGAAATTATTAAAATCTATTTAAAAATTCCCTAGCTTACGCTCAGGAAGTAAAAACAGTAGAAGTACAGGTGTTTCAATTAACATTTGTGCTAACAGAATAGATTTCACCATTTTAAACCAATATTCCAGCATAATTGAGCAATCGACAATTATATTAATTATTGAGGTGAAGTAGTAAGGAAAATTTATTGAGTTAATGTAACTACATTAGCCTGTCTGAAGCTAAGTGCGTTCGTACAACATGATACTTAACGTTGTGTCCATAAGAAAGTAAAACTTTCCAGCAGCCAGTATCGTAGTAAAAACACATCATTATTGTTTTGTACAGCAGTCCAAAGTTTAAAGATTTCGTTAGATGCAACTGTTATGTATTAAGTAACATATTGATCTCAGTAATAATAATTGTCAATACGTAGATTTTTACTTTTGAAGCGGAAACTAAAACTTTGAAAGTTAGCAAAATTATTATTTATTTATAAACACAGTTTAGATTAGTGATATATTTTGTATCTACGTAGTAGGCGTAATTATTTTCGAAATGGTCGTGAAAATAACTTACCTTAAACAATTTTTGTTCTTTTGTTCCACACTATACAGTATGAACTTAGCTGCTACTTAAAAAACGAATTTAAATTACCTAGAATGTGTTCTACTTCTCAGGAAAACATAATAATATTCGTTTGGTAAGGTTTTTTATATTCTTTTATTAGCTTATTATGATTTTGCAGAAAGAAATTGATTTAATACCAAGATATCGTCAACAAAAATTCCTCAAATTGCAAAAACTCTAAAATTATTTTTAACTATTCAGAGTGTTCTATTTTAAAGGCGTAACGCAATTTTTTTTTAACGAATCGTCCTATATATCTTTACAAATTTTTATTCACCGTTTGTTAACCTTTACAACCACATTTAGGCTTCTTTTTAAAGTCTGTCTTACAATATTTTGTGGAAGGATAAACAAATATATGCGCTGTGTTTTGGTATCAATTAAATCAAATTTTAAACTTGTTTATAAAAATATATTTTTTGTCTTAATCTTTCTAATATGGCGCTGTGCCCCTTAAAAAAGTAAAAAATCGCAGGAACTTATCAACTTTAAATATAAAAAGCGCTCAGTAAAAAAAAAAGAATAAAAAATAAAATAAGTTGCAATAATAAAATATAGGATGTTGTATTTGAAAAAACTGATATATCGATATTTGAAAATTTTAAGAATTAAAACATTTTGATAAACACTCTGTATACGAAAATTTAGTCTCATTTATACACAACAACAAAATGCTGTAACACAGATTTTAAAAATAACCCTACAGTGATTTTTTATGAACCCTTCCATTGTCAAAAAATCTCTAGAAAATTGGAATAACTCAATTTCAAAAATAAATGTGGTTGTAGAGGCTAAGAAAAGGTTATCAAAATATGTAAAGATATATAGGATGTTTCATTTTGAAAAACTAAGTTGTGTTACGCCTTAAAAATAGAACACTATATACCGGTGTTTGGAAAATGGCGGAGTAATTCTCCTCTACGCTCTTAACAATCAACTGGTGCGTCTGGGAAAAATAGTAACACAATTTCTTAAAGGTTACGTCATTTACTAAAGTCAGCCTTATCTTAGCAGGTACTAGCCCCAGCCGCCTGCCTTCTATTTTCTTAAAGAATATGTCATTTGCCAAAATCGGTCTTATTTTGGCAGGTACTAGCCCCGCCCACCCACCCTCTCTTTTCTTAGAGGGTATCTCATTTGCCGAAATCAGTCTTAGTAGGTACTAGCCCCGCCCACCCACCCTCTCTGTTTTGACAGGATATGTCATTTGCCAAATCAGTTTTATGCTAGCAAATACTGATGACTAACTTTTACAAAAAATTATCAAAATTTATAAACAATATGATTTACTTAATGCACAACGCAGGAATTTTGCCATTTTGCCAACATTTTCTCTAGTGTTTAGTTGATTACGCTTTAATAGAATTTTCTTTTGTTGGTTTTGTTTTTGTTTACAATTTATAAATGTCTTATTATTTTTTTTTTTCGGTTTATTTATTAATGAAAAATAACAGGTTGTTTTATTAATAAATATCTGGTTGACCGAGCTTCACACGGCTCGTTTGGTAGTATTAGATCAGATTAAGACAGATAAATATGCGTATAGTATGCATTTTGAAGTACACGCGCTAATTAAAAATACACATTAAAAAAAATACGTAAGCAGTCTTTGTTTTAAACACTGATGAGTCAGATGTAGAGATTAAAGAACAGAAAACTGGAATTATTGTTTGACATTTATTACAATCTCATTTGTTACCCAGGTTTTCTCTCTATCGTTCTTTTTTTTTCCTAGGTCTCTCTCTCGACTCTAGAAAAAGGTCTCAACCACATTCCTACTGCCAGAAGAGTTTCGCCTCTGGTGTGGTTAACATACTGAGTTACCGTGCTCTTTTGCGTTATTCCTAATTTCTCAATCTCAACCCTGCTCCCGAAGATGCCACTTACGAAAGTGTGCGAAACGTTGAGCCCAAAAACTCAAATAACACGGTCCCATCCCGGAAAACGATCACATATTGACTCCGACCGTAGAACCTCTGAAATGAATGCTTGACAAAATAACCTCAATTCAACGCACTTTCTTGTGCCTTTTATCCGCTCACTGTTTAGTTTTCCGTAAATTCTCTCACCTCAGAAGGTGAAATTTAACGTCCTCTATACAGTGGAGTATGTTTCGGTACGTACAATTGAAGATAAAAAGGTGCGTCAAACGTACTGTCAGACTGTCACCCAAACTTCTCTTATAAAACAATCTCGTGTTCTTGTAGTGTCATCTGATGTTGCCTAGCAACAAATATAATTCACTGCCTGAAAATTGCTGAAAATGTATGAAGCTGTAATTTTCAGAAGTTAAAACTACGATCAATCGATTTCTTGACCCAAAAAAAAACCCAACCTGTAAATTTCATCGAAATCGTTAGAGCCGTTTTCGAGAAACCCATTAGATATATATATATATATATACAAACTTTGCTCGTTTAATAGTATAAGATAATGCACAACGATGACTTCTGGTTGTTATGGTTATTATCCTAAAAAAAAAAAAGGTGAATTTCAATCACCATTGTTACTAAGAAATCAGAAAGTAAGCCGGAGATATTCACGCATTAGGTGCGTGCAGTGTTGCCAATTTTACTTTTATAAAATTACGTTTTTTTCGTAATCTACATAATCAAGTAATTTTTTATTATTTTTTTGGGACTCCCCAAACCCCCGTACTTAACGTACTGAATAGTTAATCCGCTATTTTCCAGACACCCGGTATAGTTAAAAATAATTGTAGAATGAAGTCCTTAAAAAGCTTGGTCTATCTCTAATCATTAATAAGATCTCGAGAAACGTGCGGTTAGTGACTCACCCTGTATATGCTGCAAAAATTTTAAAAGGAAATATTTTTTGAAGTATATTCCAAAACCTTGTCAACACATGCAATTACAGTTAATTTTTTAATTTATACAAGATTATTACTGTTATAAAGCAATGATGTTATAATAGGAATAATATAAAACTGTAGGTATTTCAAGCAACCATAATAATTTAAAATATCTATACACTGCATGTTTTCGAGTATAGGATCTGATGAACAAGGGAAGTTTCACTGCTTTGAAATTCTATACTTTATTGGATGTCCAAGGGCATTATGTAAGATGTAAATTGCATTTTATATTCAATTAAATTTTGTAAACGCTGATATTTAAAAAATACACAAAATTGTTTTAAATATAGATTTAAAGTGGACAAAATTTGTTCGCAACTATGAATTGTTTTTATTTTCGTTCGACTGTACGAGTAAGAAGAAAAAATGATTTACGACGTTATTAGGAATAAATTGACTGTTCAGCCTACTAGTTTCAAGTTGTTTTTACTCTACTCTATCGCTTAATAGGACATTATTAAATGCAATAGTAACCCCTTATTTGCATAACATTACAAGTAATGATTTATGCAGTCAGAAGCTTCCACTAGATTTAATAAGATTACAGCATACCAAGTAGAAGGTTTTTTCAATATTTTTATTATTATTATTATTTTAACCATCATAATCTTAACAGTTTACTGAAGCGCCGATTTGTGAATAGGCTTTAATAATTATACGGGAAACGTTTAAATTCATGATATGCAATTTTATTACAAATAAAACTGTCTTTAGGGTCACAAATGTTAAGATTTCTATCATCGAACAATTGTCATCAACAACCCGTTTGTTAGTATGATCCCATACTTTTAACAGATCAAGTTGTACTAATTGAAATGGGAGATATTTAAACATTTTTTTTTATTTTCGTGGTTCCTTCAATAATAAATAAAATCCATCAACTGAGCATAACTCCTAAATTTATCATCAGACAATAAATACTTTTTTTTTCAAAGATTTGATTAGTAAAAATTTAGGCAGTCTCTTTCAGAATCGATCTCTGTAAGTCGTTATCTATAGTAGATACCGTAAAAAGAAGTAAAATGTACTTCTGAAATAGATCAGCATTAGCCTCCTCGCGGCGCAGCTCCCATCATGTTACAGCATGTGTAGTTCTTTTCTTATATCCATGCAAATTACACATTACTGCTTCTTCCGTGAACTTAATACCCTTTTTGTGTATTCAGGTGGAAAAACCTCAGCCAGAGGGCTTATCTCATCGCACAAGGGACCAATGGGAAATCGAACGCTCCTCTCTGAAATTCGTGAGGAAATTGGGCCACGGCCAATTCGGCGAAGTCTGGGAGGGCATGTGGAACAACACCACTCCAGTAGCAATAAAAACTCTAAAACCCGGCACGATGGACCCCAAAGACTTCCTCGCAGAAGCGCAAATAATGAAGAAGCTCAGACATCCGAAATTAATCCAGCTGTACGCGGTGTGCACGGTCGAGGAGCCGATTTATATCATTACGGAGCTGATGAGGAACGGATCGCTGCTGGAGCACTTGCAGGGTAAAGGGAAGAGCTTGAAATTGCAGCAGTTGATCGATATGGCCGCACAAATTGCCGCCGGCATGGCGTATTTGGAGTCGCAGAATTACATACATAGGGATCTGGCCGCAAGGAATGTACTCGTTGCAGATAATAACGTCGTGAAGATCGCCGATTTTGGTCTCGCCAGGCTTATAAAGGTTGGTATTTAAGAATAGGATGAATTGTGATCTATTGTTGTATGGAAATGGCAGTGCGACTCCTCGAAGAACGCGGAAACGGAAGATGTGTAAAAAATATTAGTAAAAGTGAGAGAAAGTAGTGTTTTACTTAATTTTGAAGATCATATCGTGCATGCGTTGGTTAAGTAATTGTTGAACGCAGGCTTCGATGATTGTTACAATGTTTTTTTTTATTATTGTTGTTTTAGAGTCTGAACTACATATAATTGAATTTAGAGAAATTGACAGCAAATGTCCATAAGTGGTACTAGACTAGCCAAAAATGTCACAAAACACTAATTAACAAAAAGACTGTAAATAGATGCAGAACACTTGATTCGTTATTAGACGAATTTTTTTGACCTATGTCATTATAAAGCGGCAAATTATTTTTAGTATCACTGCCACCTGTGATGTGACAATTACTTAAATTTTCTTTCAAATAATTTTCTACGATCTCAAAGGAAACTTTTGTAACTCACGAAAATCATTTTCTTTTAAGATGCAAAAAAACCTGTAGGAGTGAATTATTTTAAAATGCCGTAAACTTTTATGCCTCACAACATATAGTCCTGGAAATTCCCCTAGTCAAAAACACTTAATTAGAATGTCACATTTTTTTAGTAACTTTTCGTAGGTGATTTCTTATAACTTACGAATATGTTGCTATGAATAAATCTAAATTTCAAATTTGCAATTATTGAAAGTTACAGGTACTAAAAAAGGAAAGTCAATAAGAGATTTTTTTTGTAAATTGAATTTTTAAATTGGGAGTCACATTAATCAATAGCGTACGTCCTCTGTTTCCAATTGTTATATTTCATACAACTTTATTTTGAATTAATACAGTACACCATCAAAAGCTTTTATATTCTGCTATTATGTTAAACCCATCAACAAAAAAAAAAGTAAATTTTGACTTTTCTTTTTTATAAACTGGACCATTTAATTACTTAATTAACTGAAAAAACGGAAGCTTTAATAAGAAAAAGTTACAAGTTATAACATATCGATATCTAAATCTTCAAGGCTACTGTTACCATGCTCACTTCCGCTCTCACTATCATCCGAATTATTAACATTAATAATAACTTCATTCTGTCATCCTTTTTTTCTTAAATTCCAAATCATCTTGGTTTCAGTCAAGATTAAACATTTTTAACCTCGTTTTAGCTTTTTTCTTAATATACATAGTATTCTTTGAACAACACGATACTCAAAAACATGTTTATAATTTCTTATAAAGATTTAAGTATTTTGCAGTTAAGCTGCGCCCACGGCGAATAAAAAAAAATCATCACAATTGAGATAGGGCGGGTGGGCGGGCTTAAATTTTACGTTTTTGTTTTAATATGTGTAGACTTCTTTTCACAACATGAAACTTAAAACATGTTTAAAATGGAAAATTTGTATAAGGAAATATCGATTTTTGAATTAGGCCCCGCTTCATAATTGCAAAATCCATATTTCACCACAAAAATTTACCATTTTAAATATGTGTTAAGTTTCTTGTTGTGAAAAGAAGATTTCGCATATCAAGAAAAACAGGCAAATTATGGGCCCCACCCACCCTATGTGAGTTGTGATGATTTTTTCTATTCGTCGTGGACCGGGGGGCGGAGCTTAACTCCAAAACTCTTATTCCTCTATAAGCAATTATCATGTGAAACATATTTTTAAGTATCATATTATTCAAAGAGAACAAAAATCAAAGTTTAAGGGCCACCCATTGGCTCCGATTTCAATTGCGATGAATTTTTCATTTGTTAACATACCGAGGGGGGAGCATAATTGCAAAAGCCATATTTCCTTAAAAAAATTTACCATGACGTTAAACATGTTTTAAGGTTCGAACACGATACTCAAATACATGTTCATAATTATCATAATAAAAAATAAGTATTTTGCAGTTAAGCCCTTTGGTCAAGGCGAATAAAAAAAGATCATCACGATGGAGATCGGGCGGGTGGGTGGCTTACATTTTGCCTTTTTGTTTTAATATATGTAGATTTTTTTCACAACATGGAACTTAAAACATGTTTAAAATGGAAAATTTGTATAAGGAAATATCTATTTTTCAATTAGGCTCCGCTTCATAATTGCAAAATCCATATTTCACCACAAATTTTTACCATTTTAAATATGTTTTGAGTTTGTTGTTGTGAAAAGAAGATCACATATGTTAAGAAAAACAGAGGCAAAATATAAGCCCCGCCCACCCGCCCTGTCTCAATTGTGATGATTTTTTCTAATCGTCGTAAGTCAGAGGGCGGGCCTTAGTTTCAAAATCCTTTTTCTCTACAAGAAATTACCATGTGAAACAAGTTCTTTAGTCGTTGTGTTGTTCAAAGAAAACCATATGTATTATGTAAAAAAGAAAGCCAAAAATTAAGTCGCACCAATATCAGCACCGATCTCAATTGGAATAAATTTTTCATTTGTTGTCAGGTCAGGGGAAGGACAAGAATTTACCATTTTAAGTATGTTTTAAGTTTCTTGTTGTGAAAGTAAGATTTCGCATATCAAGAAAAACAAGAGGTAAGTTATGGGCCCCACCCACCCACCCTATGTGAGTTGTGATGATTTTTTTTATTCGTCGTGGGCCGGGGGCGGAGCTTAACTGCAAAACTCTTATTTCTCTATAAGAAATTATCATGTGAAACGTATTTTTAATTATCGTATTATTCAAAGAGAACAAAAATCAAAGTTCAAGGGCCACCCATTGGCTCCGATTTCAATTGCGATGAATTTTTCATTTGTTAACAGACCAAGGGGCGGAGCATAATTGCAAAATCCATATTTCCCTAAAAAAATGTACCATGACGTTAAACATGTTTTAAGGTTACAACACGATACTGAAAAACATGTTCATAGTTTCTTCTAAAAAATAAGTATTTTGCAGTTAAGCTCCGCCCCTTTGGTTCACAGCGAACAAAAAAAGGATCATCATAATTGAGATCGGGCGAGTGGGTGGGCTTAAATTTTGGATTTTTGTTTTAATATATGTAGAGTTCTTTTCACAACATGAAACTTAAAACATATTTAAAATGAAAATTTGTATAAGGAAATATCGATTTTTCAATTAGGCCCCGCTACATAATTGCAAAATCCATATTTCACCACAAATTTTTACCACTTTAAATATGTTTTGAGTTTGTTGTTTTGAAACGAAGACTACATATGTTTAAAAAAAACAGAGGCAAAATATAAGCCCCGCCCACCCACCCTGTCTCAATTGTGATGATATTTTTTTCATTGTCGTAAGTCAGAGGGCGGACCTTAGTTTCAAAATCCTTATTTCTCTACAAGAAATTACCATGTGAATCAAGTTCTTAAGTCGTGTTGTTCAAAGAAAACTAAATTTAGACCTGGTTTATAGAAACCGAAATTAAAGTTAATTCGCGATTAACTTTTAACTGAGGTCCGTTGCTAGGCGACGTGCATCTTTTAACCAATCACGAGCTCTCATTCCACATTTTAATCCAGGGTTAAATTAATCGAGGATTAAATATTTAATTCGCGTTTCTATAAACCGGCCCGTACTATGTAAAAAAGAAAGCCAAAAATTAAGTCCCTCTAATATCAGCAGCAATCTCAATTGTGACAAATTTTTCATTCGTTGTCAGATCAAGGGAAGGAGCATAATTGCAAAATCTATATTTCACCACAAAAATTTACCATTTTAAATGTTTTAAGTTTCTTGTTGTGAAAAGAAGATTTCGCATATCAAGAAAAACAGAGGCAAATTATGGGCCCCATTCACCCACCCTATGTGAGTTGTGATGTTTTTTTTCTGTTCGTCGTGCTGGGGGGGGGGACTTAACTGCAAAATTCTTATTTCTCTATAAGAAATTATCATGTGAAACATATTTTTAAGTATCGTGTTATTGAAAGGGAACTATGTATGTGTAGAGAATAAAAATCAAAGTTTAAGGGCCACCCATTGGCTCAATTGCGATCAATTTTTCATTTGTTAACAGACCGAGGGGCGGAGCATAATTGCAATATCCATATTTCCCTAAAAAAATTTACCATGACGTTAAACATGTTTTAAGGTTCTAACACGATACTCAAATACATGTTCATAATTTCTTGTAAAAAATAAGTATTTTGCTGTTAAGCTCCGCCCCTTTGGTTCACGGCGAATAAAAAAGGATCATTACAATTGAGATCGGGCGGGTGGGAGGGCTTAAATTTTGGGTTTTTGTTTTAATATGTGTAGACTTCTTTCCACAACATGAAACTTTAAACATGTTTAAAATCGAAAATTTGTATAAGGAAATATCGATTTTTCAATTAGGCGCCGCTTCATAATTGCAAAATCCATATTTCACCACAAATTTCTACCATTTTAAATATGTTTTGAGTTTGTTGTTGTGAAAAGAAGACTACATATGTTAAGAAAAACAAACAAAATATAAGCCCCGCCCACCCACCCTGTCTCAATTGTGATGATTTTTTTCTAATCGTCGTAAGTCAGAGGGCGGACCTTAGTTTCAAAATCCTTATGTCTCTACAAGAAATTACCATGTGAAACAAGTTCTTAAGTCGTTGTGTTGTTCAAAGAAAACTATATGTATTAATGTATTATGTAAAAAAGAAACCCAAAAATTAAGTCCCATCAATATCAGCACTGATCTCAATTGTGATAAATTTTTCATTCGTTGTCAGATCAATGGAAGGAGCATAATTGCAAAATCTATATTTCCCTAAAAAAATTACCATGACGTTAAACATGTCTTAAGGGTCTAACACGATACTCAAAAACATGTTCATAATTTCTTGTAAAAAATAAGTATTTTGCAGTTAAACTCCGCCCCTTTGGTTCACGGCGAATAAAAAAAGGTCATCACAATTGAGATCGGGCGGGTGAGCGGGCTTACATTTTGCCTTTTTGTTTTAATATGTATACACTTTTTTTCACAACATGGAACTTAAAACATCTTTAAAATGGAAGAAAAGGAAAATAATTGCTAAGAGAAAAACTTTGACTGGGGGTAATTCCACGACTTTAGCAACCAAAATTTCAAATTTTCACCATAAAAGAAAAAATCTCCGCTTATAATTTAGAAACAATATACACACTCAATTTAATATTGTTTTAATGATCACTAGAATCTTCAAAGTTAACGAAAGAATAAAGTGGGTTACCTGTTTGTTTATAATTACTGATCTCTAGTTACGTAGGCAAAAATTACACTGTACAACTTTCATATATTAATTTGGTTCGTTCTGAGAAGTATTGTCCGAAATGTAAAACCCAAGACACACCCAAGTGTATCCACACAGATTGATCTGTGCAAGTGACCTAGAAGTTAGAAAAATTGGTAGACGTTTGCCGAGAAATTTTTTCTGCGCACGTTAAATATTCAGCATTTATTTATCTCATTTTTGTTATATGTATAATAATTCCAAACGTAACATTCATTAAAAACAATAGTCTACTTTTTGTAAATCTGACAATTCTTGGTAATACGTTAAACCAATATTCAACCCAAATTCTATTCTGTTTCCACCATATTGAGGTAAAATTTTATTTAAAGTGTGAACAACATATTTAGAAGCTTTGGAGTAACATCGTTTTTCCTTTACAAAAATAGTGCTTTTTTTTTTTAATTTAAAAATACTTAATTAGTTGGAAAACAATCTCTTTGGACGGAACTGAAATATTTTTGGATTTTAGGTTGTTATGAAAAACAAAGTTATAATCAGACGATTTTCGTGTAGTGACTTGTTTATTGTACAGTGTGCTTAAAATATAAAACTTCGCTAAAAATTCCAATAATAGAAATGGGTATAAAAATAAATGAAAAACATAGAACTTTAGGTGATTCACCAAATCACATAGAGAAATACGTAATCTTTAATAGTAAGCAAGTTAAAAACAAGAAAACAAAAATAAACGTGACATCATGCAAAAAACTGACTACGAGTAGAATCGTATACATTTATTAGTGTTTTGTTATGTTAATAAGCGATTATTTTTGAAATGAGCAAAACCAACTGATACACAGCTCGGCAACATTGATTCTGATGAAAAATGTTATAATTTGTGAACTGTAAGCTCCAAAATAAAAAGTTCAGCCTAAATTCTTTGATTTCATACTTACTATCTATATTTTTCTTTCAAATATTCAATGTGTTATTTAAAACAGTAGAACAACTGTCCACGTTTTATTAGAGGACCCATACCAGGCTTAAGAGGTTATTTTAAATATTTAATCGATTGTTTATTTTATCAAATACCCATTATATTAAATCTAAAATTGTTGGCATATTTTATTTTTAAATAGAGTGAAGCTGGTTTCGTTATATGATATTAATTAATTAATTAGTACCTATTTCTATGTAAATATTTGCGGTTGCTTCTTTCACAAAATGAGTCCTAAATAAATTAAACAACGAATTAGAGCCGTTTAAATTTTTAGTAATCAAGTGAAATATGGTATTTACGTCAACGTAAGGTTTCTTTAGAAATCAAGAATTCATTGATATACATTTTCAATTTAGGTAAATGAAAAGAAAATCAACAAAATTCATATTGCAACGTACAAAAATTAAATTAAACTTCATATTGGTTTTCATGCGCATTATGTATTTTCATGTTATATTACAAATTACGTTTAAATCGGTTTAAATATAATAAAAATAAAATTTTAGTTTGCTTACAACAATATCAAAAATATTCCTTTTTAATTAACAGATAATAGAAAGTGAAAAATTGTAGACACACCACTGTAAAAGCAATTTTCGAATGAATTGTTTTTTTTTTTTTACAAATGTCAATATCTTAGATATGTCGGCATCTTTTAATAATCTTGTAATTCTTTACAATTTTTTTTGTTTTTAAGTTTTTCAAAGTATAGTTGCTGCACTAAATTATACGAGATAAGAAAGTGTATGACTCATGACCAATGCGCGAGAAATATAATTAAAGATATAGTGCAATTTTTTTATCGACTATGAGTAAATAATTCTAATACGGTAACATTTAAGGTGATTAATTAATTTTCAGTACACAGAACTGTCGTACAACGCAAGTCGTACAACAAACGTAAATCCCAAAAAGTCTTCAGTCATTTTGAAATATATGAAATGCTTTAAGAACGTAAGTCGAGCTTATTTGTAGAGATTAAAATAGGCAACAACTAACCGCTAATACTTTATAGTTATTAAGTAAGGGGTATGTACTATACATTTAAAAATCGAAGTGACTGTATTGCAAACTGTATATTTAACATTTGGAGGACGAATTTGTCGATGCAATGTCCGGTCAATTTTTCTTATGCAATATGCAAAGTAATATTTATCTTGAAAACTCATAAATAATATATAATTTTCTTTCCCCTTTAATTATGCTAATATTTACGTCAATTATTAATCGCCATAAACATCTTTTAATCGTTTTAAAATTAACAACGTATTTGATAATGTCAACATTTTTTTACACTTTGTATAAAACTAACTAAGATTTCTTAACTAAACTTATTTATGAAAACGAACCATTGATGTCGTAAACAGTTAAAAATGTATTTCTTCGTAAGTGTATAAAACAATAGAAACAACGGATCTATATTGTGTACTTGTTATAGCATTCATTGAAACATTCATTTTTGTCGTGGCTCTAACTGTAACTGTTGGCATATGTTACATGTTTCAATTAGTGAACTGTTCCTACATTTTTCAAGATTGTATACCATATGATTAAAAAAACTGAAAAACTAGACTCAATTTTTTTTCGCAACTGTCGCTGTGATAAATATTTATTTATTATTGCATATGTTATAAACGAGTAAAAATAACTATTATATACATTGTGTAACAAAGAAAATTTATAATCGAGTCATCCTTGGAGATAACATAGGATGCATGTATGCTAAATGCTATTAATAACTGTCAAACAAGATGTCAAAGAATTTACGAAGCTATAAATAACGTTTACGCCTCCTTGATTGTTAACAACCTATAAAAAACTCAAAAGGTATTTACGCAAATCTCATCCGCCTCTGTAACTTAAAAACACTACATGCATTTATTTTTTGAAACAGAGTGGTATAAGTTTTGTTATAAATATGGTAAAATGTGATTGACACTTATTGCATTGTGTTACATTTACACGATTTGTTTCCAAGGTTGAGTAGATATATTAACTGCGACGACAGTTACCTCTGAACGAAATGAGAGGTAATTACGTTTTTAAAGCTAAAGTAGTACAAAATATTTTTTTCTTAAACAATGTTGTTATTTTTTACAGGAGGACGAGTATGAAGCAAGAGTAGGAGCTCGATTCCCCATAAAATGGACAGCTCCTGAAGCGGCCAATTACAATAAGTTCTCGATAAAATCAGACGTGTGGTCATTCGGTATCCTTCTGACTGAACTTGTTACATATGGAAGAATTCCATATCCAGGTACAACCACCAACCTTTTCCTGTTAATACGTCACGAATTAATTATAATAATTTAAGGTATGACCAATGCCGAAGTATTACATCAAGTAGAACACGGCTACCGCATGCCATCACCGCCAGGGTGTCCTGCGCCTTTGTACGATATCATGTTAGAATGTTGGAATAGGGATCCAATGAAGAGGCCGACTTTCGAAACGTTGCAATGGAAGCTAGAAGACTTCTTCACTATGGAAGGTTCAGAATACAAGGAAGCGTCGGCTTACTGAGGTCACGCCCACCCCCCTTCTGAGTGGTTGTGTAATTCTATTGACTTACATTACCATTAGTGGGGAGGTGGATATCTATTTCTATGTAACAATAGATAGATATGCCCGTACTCTTTACTGTCTTGTCTTGTAGCTTTTATCAGGGTGAAATATTGGTTTGTGATTTTTTCTTCTTATCAGATTTTTATACCGTACCGCGAAATTTTTACGTGCGTCACAAACCACTATTTCACGTTTTATTTTAGATAAATTTCAAAAATTTGTCTCACTCCCTTTTATACAAATGGATCATCCATCAGGGCTAATTCGCTTCTAGCCCGTCATGTGTCTATATTTAAAATATTCTTTATATTAATTTTATTTTATGATAACTTTTATGTAATTTTATACATTTAAAAACGATGACAATTTCTTTCTGAACGAAATTTCAAAACGCACAACTACATGTCTGCCAATTCCACGTAGATATTGTCAAGATGTATAATTGTTGCTTGTGCATATACCTAATTCCCTACAGTACTTACGCTTCTGCATTTATTTTTTTAAAACGAATAACATTCCTTATAGAGATGACCGTTTACTGAATTTTGCTATTGTTGGCGTACTTTCCCAGAGACCCCAAAATAAGCCTAGGTACTAATTAAATTGGCGTTGTTTTACTATTGGTTGTTTTAGTCACGTCTTATTGTCTTCATTATTTTAAGATTGTTATCAAAGGCATTGTTTATACAGTTATAGGCCATTATGAAAATATTTTTTGTATTATACACTTTAGGGATATACAATAAAAAACTTTAAACTATTAATTTGAGTTATTATTATTACTACAAATATTTTTAACCCAAATACTCAAAAATATTGTTTTGTTTACCTGACCTGCTGGGATTATTATACCTGATTCATCCCCACAAAGAGAAGATTAACTAACCCACTAGGTTGTTAAAATCTAAAACGAGTTTAGAACAGAACTTGTTAAGAGACCAGGTAACTATAATATACATAAGCTCTTCATCATTTTAATGGTGAGCTAAAGTATATTCCAACATAGGGAAATACATATATACTTATGTCCCAAGTTTTTGCCAAAAGTATACGTCTGATTGTAATAAGCTTCACACCGTTGAAATGGGCGTAATCGAGTCCACTGGACGAATGGCCACTTTTATATTTTCTCGACGTTTCATGACCCCTGCACTACCAAAAAAGGTAGTCTCCCATTTCCGTCTGTCTGTCTGTATCCATTTTTATTAGACATGTAATCTCCGAAACTGGTGGACCGATTATTGTCAAATTTTGTATGTAGGTATATTAGAAATATATAGATGATTAATCACCCCCACCAACAACAACGACGTTTAAATTTCCCTATTTTTTAACTCGTATTTTTAGTTTTTCACTGCTTCAAATTCCATTTTTCAATTTTTATGTTTTTGATTTTTCAATTTTTTGATGTTTCAAATTTTAGATTTTCCGATTTTTCGACTTTTTAACCTCGATTTCTCGTTTTCCCGATATTTCAACTTTTTAATTCTTCAATTTTTCAATTCCTTAATTTTCCGAATTTAAAATTTTTCCATTTTTCAAATTTTCAATTTTTGGCGTTTCTAGGCTTCCGATTTGTTGATTTTTCGATTTCTCAATTCTTCAACTTTCGATTCCACAATTTTTCGGTATTTTTGTTTCGGACTTTTCAGTTTTTTGATGTTTAATTTTTCGATTTTGAAATTTTTATATTTTTTTAAATTTCAATTTTTGGCGTTTCTATCGATTTGGCGATTTTTCGAATTCTTGATCTCTCGACTATTCGATTTTTCAATTTTCAAAGTTTTTGGTTTTTTTAAATTTACGATTTTTCAGTTTTTACACTTTCCGATTTCTCAATTTTTCGATATTTTAGTTTTGGGACTTGCAGTTTTTTGATTCTTCAGTTGTTAGATTTTCAGTTTTGAGATTTTGGATTTTTCACTTTCTCGATTTTTCTAAATTTGGATTTCTCAACGTTTTTATTTCTAGATTTCCAGATATTTTATTAGTTTAATTTTTTCATCTTTCAAATTTTTAATTTTCGGCTTTTCTGAATTTTCTATTTGTCAATTTTTCGAATTCACGATTTCTGGATTAATCGATTTTTTAATTTTCTTTTTTCTCGATTTCTCGACTTAGATGTTTCCATTTACCGCTTTTTCAGTTTTTTCAATTCTTCAACTTTTCGATTTTTCAATTTTTTTCAATTTTTCTGTTTTTCGGGTTTACAAATTTCAGGGTTTCTCAGTTCGAATTCTCGATGTTTTGATTAGCCGACTTTTCAATTTATTGAGTTTTGAATGTTTTGATTTTTCGATTTTTTGTTTCTTCAGTTTTTCAATCTTTTGATTTTTCAGGCTTTCGATTTATCAATTTTTGGATTTTTTAAATTTCTATTTTTCGACTTTTCGGTTATTCGAATTTTCGATTATCAACTACATATTTCATATTTCAGTTTTGGGATTTTTCAATATCTTTATTCTTCAGTTTTTCGATTCCTCAATTTTCCGATTTTTATATTTTTACATTTTTCAAATTTTCAATTTTTGGCGTGTCTAAGCTTCTGATTTGTAAATTTTTCAACTTTCGACATAATTTTGTTTTGGATTTTTCAGTTTTTTATTCTTTAATTTTTCGATTCTACATTGTTTCTATTTTTTAAACTTTCAATTTTTGGCATTACTATCGATTTGTGGATTTTTCGTATTCTCGATTTCCCGATTATTCGACTTTTTGATTTTTTGATTTTCCCATTTCTCGATATCCCAATTGTTCGATGTTACGATATCTCAATTTTTCGATCTTCAAGGTTGTTCATTTTTAAAATTTTCGATTTTTACATTTTTTGATTTCTCAATTTTTCAATTCTCAGATATTTTAGTTTTTTGATGCTTCAATTTTTAGATTTTCAGTTTTTCGATTACTCAATTTTTCGATATTTCAGTTTTGGGATTTTTAGATTTTTCACTTTCTCGATTTTTCTAATTTTCCATTTCTCAACTTTTTTATTTTTAGATTTCCCGATGATTTTCCGATATTCCAGTTTAATTCCCCGATTTTTTGATTTTTAAACTTCTTCATTTTTCAAATCTTCAATTTTCGGCTTTTCTAAATTTTCAATTTGTCGATTTTTCGAATTTACAATTTTTAGATTAATCGATTTTTTCATTTTCCCTTTTCTCGATTTCTCGACTTCGGTGTTCCCATTTCTCGATTTTTCAGTTTTTTCAATTTTTCGTTTTTTTAATTTTTTTAATTTTTCTCTTTCAGATTTACAATTTTTGGTGTTTCTCAGTCCGAATTCTCGATGTTTTGATTAGCCGATTTTTCGACTTCTTGAGTTTTAGATGTTTTGAATTTTCGATTTTTTGCTTCTTCAGATTTTCAATTTCTTGATTTTTCAGGCTTTCAATTTTTTTATTTTCTAAATTTTCCATTTTTCGACCTTTCGGTTATTCGAATTTTTGCATTCTCGAATTTTCCAATTCAGATTTCTCAAGTTTTCAGTGTTTCAGTTTTATTTTTTAATTTTTTGATTCCTCAATTTTCCGATTTTTAAATTTTTCCGTTTTTCAAATATTCAATTTTTGGCGTTTCTAAGCTTCCGATTTATCGATTTTTCGATTTCTCAATTTTTCATCTGTGGATTCCACAATTTTTCGAAATTTTTGTTTTGGATTTTCCAGATTTCCAGTTTTTATTCTTTAATTTTGCGATTTTAAAATTTTTCTAAAAATCTTCGATTTTTACACTTTTCGATTTCTCAATTTCTCAATTTTTCGATATTTTCAGTTTTGGGATTTTTCGATTTTTCACTTTCTCGATTTTTCTAATTTTCCATTTCTCAACCTTTTTATTTTTAGATTTCTCGGTGATTTTCCGATATTCCAGTTTAATTCCCCGATTTTTCGATTTTTAAATTTCTTCATTTTTCAAATCTTCAATTTTCGGCTTTTCTAAATTTTCAATTTCTCGATTTTTCGAATTTACAATTTTTGGATTAATCGATTTTTTCATTTTCCCTTTTCTCGATTTCTCAACTTAGATGTTTCCATTTCTCGATTTTTCAATTTTTTCAATTCTTCAATTTTTCCCTTTTTTAATTTTTTTTAATTTTTCTCTTTTTGACTTCTTGAGTTTTCGATGTTTTGAATTTTCGATTTTTTGCTTCTTCAGTTTTTCAATTTTTTGATTTTTCAGGCTTTCAGTTTTTTTTTTTAATTTCCCATTTTTCGACCTTTCGGTTATTCGAATTTTTGAATTCTCGTATATCAATGTTTCAGTTTTATTTTTCAATATTTTTACTTTTTAATTTTTTGATTTCTCAATTTTCCGATTTTTAAATTTTTCCATTTTTCAAATTTTCAATTTTCGGCTTTTCTAAATGTTCAATTAGTCGATTTTTCGAATTTACAATTTTTGAATTAATCGATTTTTTCATTTTCCCATTTCTCGATTTCTCGACTTCAATGTTTCCATTGCTCGATTTTTCAGTTTTTTCAATTCTCCAATTTTTGGATTTTTCAATTTTTTTAAATTTTTCTCTTTTTCAGATTTACAATTTTTGGTGTTTCTCAGTCCGAATTCTCGACGTTTTGATTAGCCGATTTTTCGACTTTATTGAGTTTTCGATATTTTTGATTTTTTAAATTTTCCATTTTTCGACCTTTCGGTTATTCGAATTTTTGAATTCTCGAATTTTCAATTTGAGATTTCTCAAGTTTTCAATGTTTCATTTTTCATAATTTTTATTTTTTAATTTTATGATTCCTCAATTGTTGATAATTGTTCCGATTTAAATTTAAATTTTAAATTTTTGGCGTTTCTAAGCTTCCGATTTTTCGATTTCTCAATTTTTCTATTGTCGATTCCTCAATTTTTCGAAATTTTTGCTTTGGATTTTCCAGTTTTTATTCTTTAATTTTTCGATTTCAATTTTTGGTGTTTCTATCGATTTGTCGAATTTTCGATTTTGACTTTTCGATTTCTCAATTTTTCAATATTTCAGTTTTGAGATTTTGGATTTTTCACTTTCTCGATTTTTCTAAATTTGCATTTCTCAACCTTTTTATTTCTAGATTTCCCGATATTTTATTAGTTTAATTTTTTCATCTTTCAAGTTTTTAATTTTCGACTTTTCTGAATTTTCTATTTGTCAATTTTTCAAATTCACGATTTCTGGATTAATCGATTTTTTTATTTTCCTTTTTCTCGATTTCTTGACATAAATGTTTCCATTTCCCGCTTTTTAGTTTTGTGATTTTTCAGTTTTTTGATTCTTCAACTTTTCGATAGTTTAGTTTAGGGATTTTTCGATTTTTTCAATTCTTCAATTTTTAGATTTTCCGATTTGTTTCAATTTTTCTGTTTTTCATTTACAATTTTTGGTGTTTCTCAGTTCGAATTCTCGATGTTTTGATTAGCCGATTTTTCGATTTCTTGAGTTTTCGGATTTTTTGTTTTTTCATTTTTTCAATTTTTTGGTTTTTCAGGCTTCCGATTTTTCAATTTTCAATGTTCCATTTTTCGACTTTCCGGTTATTCGAATTTTCGATTTCTCAATAATTTGAGAAACCGATATAATTATCGGTTTATCAATTTTTTGATATTTTAGTTTTGGGATTTTTCAACATTTTTATTCTTCAATTTTTCGATTTCTAGATTCTTCAATATAATTTTAGATTTTTCGAATTTTCTATTTTTCAAATGTTCAACTTTCAATTTTTCAATTTTTTGATGTTTCAGTTTCTCGATTTTTCAGTTATTCGATATTTTAAATTTTCGATTTTTCGATTTCTGAATTTTTCAATTCTTCGGTTTTTCGAATTTTTTAATTCTATATCTACCGATTATTTTTGATCTTTGGATTTCGAAATATTTCGATATTTCACTTTTTAGATTTTATAATTTTTTGAATTCTCAGTCTTTCAATATTTCGATTTTTGAGTTCATGGATTTTTCTGACTTTTACTTTACTTTTGTCTTTTTTTAAAATGTAAAACCTTCTTGGGGGCTCCAACTGTCTTTTTAAAAAGTGTAAAACCTTCTCGGCGGCCCCAAATGTATTTTTTTTTAAGAATGTGAAACCTTCTCTGGGGTCCTAATAGTTTTTTTTTTTTGTAATGTAAAACCTTCTCGGGGGCCTCAAATGTCTTTTTTAAAAGTGTAAAACGTTCTCGAGGGTCCCAACTGTCTTTTTTAAACATATAAAATCTTCTCGAGGACGCCAAATGTCTTTTTTTGAAAATGTGAAACCTTCTGGGTGGTCCCAAATGTCTTTTTTAAAAATGTAAAACCTTCTCAGCGGTCCCAAATGTCTTTTTTAAGAATGTGAAACCTTCTCAGAGGTCTCAATTGTTTTTTTAATAATGCAAAACTTTATCGGGAGTCCCAAATGTCATTTTTAAAAATGTAATACCTTCTCAGGGGCGCCAACTGTCTTTTTTAAAATTGTAAAACCTTCTCGGGGGCGCGAAATATCATTTTTAAGAATGTCAAATCATCTCGGGGCTCCCAACTGTCTTTTTTAAAATTGTAAAACCTTCTTGGGAGTCCCAACTGTCGTTTTTAAAAATGTAATCCCTTCTCAGGGGCGCCAACTGTCTTTTTTAAAAATGTAAAATCTTCTCGGGGGTCCCAAATATCTTTTTTAAGAATGTTAAACCTTCTCGGGGCCCCCAAATGTCTTTTTTAAAAATGTAAAACCTCATGGGTGCCAAATGTCTTTCTTAAGAATATGAAACCTTCTCGGGGGTCCCAACTGTCTTTTTTAAAAATGTAAAACCTTCTCGGGGCCCCCAAATGTCTTTTTTAAAAATGTAGAACCTTCTTAGGGGCGCCAAATGTCTTTTTTAAGAATATGAAACCTTCTCTTGGGTCCCAATTATTATTTTTTTTTTTTTTGTAATGTAAAACCTTCTCAGGGGCGTCAAATATATTTTTTAAATACTCCACATAGGGTGCCACGAAAAAGTAAAATTTCGGAAAATCAAATTTTATAATTTTTCAGAGAAGCAGTATTTGTTGGACTCTACTTTAGAAGCGGGGGAAGTTCGGTCGAAATAGCTTTCCACTAATTTTTTATAGATATACAGGGTCATCAAAATTGATTGAGAGAGTTGGTACCCCCTGTTTTTGTCGTGAAGTTTGTCAACCTTATGACAGATTTGTTTAAGGTTATATGGCAATGAATTCAGTGGCGTGACAAAAATTAGAAACTTCAAATCTAATGTTTTTACCAAAAAAAAAGTCGAAAAAAGACGCCACTGAGTTTTGAAATTTGAAACTTGAAACTTCAAATCTGACAGCTAATATTTTTATACAACTTAATAAACCAAATTATTCAAGTTCAGGTTTACCAACTCTCTCAATCAATTTTGATGACTCTATATGTATAATACTTTGTTTTCCCCATATTTTCAAAAAAGATTTGTAACTTTCCAGTTTAAAATGAGCACCATTTATAATTATAAGTATCCTGATCATGGAGGAAAGAATTTATTTTTAAATTTATATTCATTCGTCCATGATCCGGATCCTGAGGCCACTGTAGTAACTGGAGTTATTTTTTTTATAGTTGGGGTACGTTGGCATGCCTGTCGATAACCATTTTTCGATATTTTTTTGACAGATTGTCACTGTTTACGCTGTCACTGTTGTTTTCTTCATTTTTTCTATTTAGTAGTTGTAGCAGGTTGTACTCATTCCACTATTCCCTTTAATCTGTATAACTTATTCATCAATTTTGATACCAAGTGTTTAATAAAAGTTATTGAAGTGAAAATAGTTAAGGAATACTAATGTCTAATGTGTAACTGTAAAACTATTTAGGCCAAGATATTTCAAAATATATTGTGATAAAGAAAATGGATCACATATTTACTATTAACAAAAAGCTAAGTAAATCTGTGGATCCTAACAAACATCTTGCATTCAACAAGTAAGCACAAAAATAACCTTTAATGTTAATAACGCTAAATGTTCATGTATTTTAGGTTAGAAAAATCAACAATTTGTTCAGTTTCCAGTACAAATGTGGTGGCTTTTAGCACTGAATGCAATATTGATGAAGTAAATTCATTATTCTGGAGCTCCAATGTATATGTTTGTGATTTAAATAGCCCGTGGCAAGTCCATAAGTAATGCAAACAGACAAAACTTAAATAAGAAAAATTAATTTCTTTTTTTGTAGGATTCTGTCAAATCCATCTCCAGTATCTGTCTTACAGTGGGATTTCACAGGTGATCTACTACTAGTAGCTGATGAAAATGGTTCCATAAAGATATATAAAGCTAAAGAGCATATTTTAAATGACTGGACACTAGTTCTACAAACTGTACTAGAAGGTGAACATATCTTGGCTGCCGCATTCTTCCATTCAGGCAAAAAAATTTGTTTGAATTCTGAAAAAAAAGATAGTTCTTTGTATATCGAAAAATTCCATCATGTCAAGTTTGCTTGTTCTGTTAAACAATTCGGAGGACGTCCAGCCAGTGGGGCTCTTTTACTCACAACAACTGGAATGTTGTGCTCAATTCTTCTCCCACAATCCACTAGTCAAGTACCCATGGTTATATCTACTGAAAGTTTGGCCCCAACAAGGATATTTGTGAAAGCTGCTGACATTTGTTATGGCAAAAGTACATGTTTGTAAATTTACTATTTTTTGTATGCTGAATTTGTTTTTTAGATGGTCATTTTCTACTAGCTGTTAGTAATGGAGATCTTTCTATGCCAATTCAGTGCTATAAAGTATCAGTAAGAAAAGTTGAAGATAAATGTGTGATCACAAGTCAGTCATTACTAAGTTTCTTTTTATTTGAGGCACCTAAAGAAGCACTAAGTATAAGTGTACATATTTTACTAAATTTATGAATTTCAATTATATAAATTTTAGTGGAACAGGTAGCTAAAGAAAAAAATTGTCACATCAGTCATATAAAGTGGATAATGAGGGAAGACGCAGACTCAGTTGTTGTCGCTGCTAGCAGCGATAAAACTAGTTGTTTGCAGGTTTGGGAGTTGAGAGAAAAAGCGTTACCAGTTCATAAATCTTTAGGTAAATCTGAAACTCCTCAATTTTTCAATACAGTTGTAAGTATAACTATTATTTTTAAAATACACAATCAAACTATTTTTTTTTTTAGCTTTGGCAGTATCAGTGTCACTTTCAGTACAACAGTAAAGTGACCTCATTAGCAACAAGTAAATTAAGCTTGCTTAACAACGTTTCCAGTGGTTACGTTGTGGCCACGTTTTCTGATAATTCCATCCATTGTCTTTACAGAGATACTTTGAAACATCTTGTCAGTACAACATTGAATATTTGTCCACGGTATTCTGACGAACCTTTGGCTAGATACCCTAAAACAAGTATCAAAATTTCAAACATTGATATGTCTTGGCTAGGGAACATTTTATTAGTTATTGATTCAGATGATAGCCTACACATGTTTAAATTACCTCCACAAATTGATAGCTCAACTCCATTGAGTGTGCCATATTGTACTACAATTTTGGAGTACTGTATGATGAGCGGATTCGATTGGTTGGATTTATTGTTGGTTCTGAGACCAGGCATGTTGGACGCTTTGTGTGATAGACTGACAGAAAGCTTCAATCGACAACCAGCTTCTGTTCAACAATTCTTTTATGTACAGTACTTGTGCATGAAGATCTCTTTGTGCAGGTAAGTGTTTAAAAATAAATTATTAGTTATTGTTAAATGAAAATCCATATTTTTCATATTTTCTGATTCATTCTACTAAAACAAAAATTAATAATAATTATAATTAAAAATGCCAAAGCACATTTAATTCTCTTCACAATCCACTTCCAGATTGAGCATACAAGGGCAAACCAAAGCCAACGACCTCACTCAGTTTTTAATGCTCCACAGTATCTCTACAGCTTTCAAGAGTCTATTACGTCCTAGTGAGATGAGTAGTCATGACAAAAGTCCCGCTGATTCGCTAGCAAGTACGTTACACACACTTCGTAAACATTTTGTCTAAACACTTTACCAATTTTCCTATTGTGTAGATGTTATAGCTGAAGGCCAAACCGACGTGGACAAAGTCCTCATGCACCTAGAAGCCAAAGAATTTACGGTCGAACCGTCAACACTTCAAAGTTTGCAGCAATTAATCCAGTGGGTGGCTGACTTGGCTCTTAACTTGCTGGTGAAGTTACCAGATAGCCGCCCCATTATGGGAAAACCGTACGAGTTGTTGAGAGATGTCAAAGCCTTGAACATGCTGAGAGAGATGTTGGTGCTGATCAGAATTTGGGGTTTATTAAGACCTGCTTGTCTTCCGGTTTTTATCAAGTCTGACGGTAGTTTGGATGTTTTAGCGTTGCTGTTTAGATTGTTGAGCAGATTGGTGCAGAACGTGAATGAACCAGATGATTCGCTAATTGGTAAGTTTTTTTAACGTACTATTACAGTCGCAAAAATATTGAGATATCTTGTTTGCGTATTTTTTACTACTGAACTTTGTTCCTCTGAGTCTCTACAAAAGAAGTGTTTTTTCTTATTAAAGATAAATTGCTGACAATATTTCACAAAATTTTCTCGGAATTTTACTGATTTCGTGTTCCTTGCATATCGTTTAAAACCCAGTAGTGGAAAATAAAAATTAATCGCCTGTGTTTGACATATGTCGAAATATAAGGTAAACTAAATTTAATCTTCTCATGTGGAAAAGCAATAATATGAGAAGTACATGTTTAATCAGAGACTTTAATATGTTTGATTGAAGTCTGTGTTGAGTCATCATACTCTTGTCATTTAAGCATGAACAGTGGTGGAGTCATCAAAATTTATTGAAAGAGTTGGTACTCCCTGCTGCCACTCATCTCTAAGGGTTAAAATTGTTTGCTTCGTTGACAATAGTCTTATTACTCCTATTGTCAGCTGGGAAAGTGTATTTCTCGGCTTGCAGGTAGAGCAGAGTAATGAACTAAAATATTTATCTACTACGAAAGAAAACACTATTTCTCAGCTTACGCTCAGGAAGTAAAAACTCAAAAACACGTCGATTAGTATATAAAAATTGCCATTTTGTAACATTAATTTCAAAATTTTTGACCTATATTTGACAGATGTATGGCATCATCCATAATTTTTTTTAAATAGCACCATAGAATACCCTCTCTATAGAACACGATCTCTAATGCTTTTATGTTGGTCACAATGTCAGCATCTACTGGCTGGGTCGGGAACTAAAACTGGCGCTAAATTTGAAAGCGAATTTTTAAGGTGAATTTTTTATAATTGAAGGGAAAAATATGGTTTGTGTATTTTATATGTTAGTTTCAAAACGTGTAAATACGTTTTGAAGCTGACATATAAAAAACACAAACAGTATAAAAAAAGTAGATAAAATATTTGACATAGTATATTTAAAACTTAACATTCAGTTGTAAATGTAAATACAATAATAACAAGAAATAAATAAATACATTGATAATATCTTAAAAATATCTTAAGAGAAAATTAGAAAAGTAAGCAAAAGTCAAAGAAAATAGTGCAAAATAAAATAACATTTTAAATATTAAATGTTCAAAACTGATAACCAAATACGTTTCCCAGTACTTGATGCTGATGAATAACCTGCAAAATGCAAAATTATACAAACGTTCTACTTTCTTTCTGTAAAACCTAAATATAACTGTTGCATTTCTGTTTCCAATGGAATTGATTTGTTAGGCTTTTCCTTACCACATATTACATTGCTGACTTTTTTCATAGATCTGAAGATAGACTCTCTTAAAAATAAATGAAAAGTTTAGTTCTTCGATATGCAAAACACTCCCGAAAATCAAAATCAATCACTGTTGCCCCTTTCATAACCGTTTTATAAAAAAATGGGCAGTGTTTACGCCAGGCATAGAATTTTTACAAAAAGCAAAAACAACAGGTTGCTTCTACCGTTCGAAAATTCCTCTGAGTACGCAAATATGGTCTGCAATTTTTTCCGTCCTTGTTGAACCGTCATCTTCAAAAACCACAACTCTGTCCTCACAAGGCAAGTGGTCCAGATGAGGCTGAATGAACATCTCATCAAAGATGAGAGTACATACTTAGGGTTAATTTTGCGACTTACTTGCTTTCTAAGAACTTCGAATATAGGTTTGATGATACCCGGTTCTATTGGAACTTTATTTAGGGTTGCCCTCAAAGTGTTAATAGATAGCAACATAAACATTCTTGGCAGAAGTTTATACGATTTTGAACCATACTTCCAAATGGCAATGGCATCTGCTTTCACCTCAAATGTAAAACTCCTGCTTTTCGATTTACGTTTCTAATCTAGTTTTCAAAAAATTCTCGCTGAAAGGAAGCCAATCCTTTCACGATACCAACCAAACGTTGATCTCCTAGAAACTTCTTAGCGGAGCGAAAGGCGTTCTTGTGATTGCCACATCAATGTGGTTTGCTTCGAGTGATGCTGTAGCAAGTTCACTATCAGCTGTGAATAAAAATATCTTGATATTTGTTTTGTAGTGACTTTCAATTTGTTTTTACCGTGGAAAGACAGAATAGCTGGTACTGTAAATCTATGCGGCTTTTGCGTTCCTCGTATGTAGTCTTTATCTGGTCGAAAATGATGGAAGCCAGTGTACCCTCTGCTATAAATTTGGTTGTTGTTTAGAACCACGAGTTTTTGGTTATTCGCGGCTTTATTATTTGCGCCATAAACCGATTTGGATGTGGAACCCAAAGATCGGCTTAACTCTCGTCGTATATCCGTAACATGTTGTTGTCTTGCATTTTTGTTCTACAAAAATTGGGTATAATAATCTAGTCAAGGCAAAGTTATATACTCACATTTGGCAATTACACTCCACAATGTACAATGTAAACACATAAATTAAGAAAACTTTGAGAAGCACTTTCCCACTATGAAATCACGCATAAATCACGCGAAAACAACACAGGAAATGTGTCAAATGATAAACACTGCCGTTGCTAGGAGATCTAAACGAATTCTCAAAAATTTTGAAAATCACAGCTTTTACAGATTTCTTTTCATTACGACTCCTGGCGGGCGGGTCGGAAAACTTCGCAAAGAAAGGATAAGGTGAAGGCTATCTCATTTCAAGACCCCTGAATAGCACCTCCTATTTTTTTTTAGCATAAAGTGATAGTCCCATAGATAAAATAAAACCATAATATAGAACGCAAAGTCCCTAAGAAATTTTGGGTACAGCGCCACCTATCGGCGTGGTGACGGTGCAAAACCACGGCCTCCCAGGACTTTACATTTATTTTATTTTTTTTATTTTTTCGCACTTTTACAGAAAAGAAAATGCTACGAATACTTTCGATTTTTTATTTTTAACCTTTTGTTATACAATTCCGAGGCTTTTTTATAAACATTATTACTTCCCGAGCGTAAGCAAAGGAAGTATTGTAATCGAGTCCGTCGGCCGACTCTCTACTTTTACATTTTCTCGATCTTTCATGACCCCTAGAAGACGAAGAAATAGGTCTCCCATTTCCGTCTGTCTGTCCGTCTGTCCGTCTGTCCGTCCGTCTGTCCGTCTGTCCGTCCGTCTGTCCGTCCGTCTGTCCGTCTGTTGTCCCGGATTTTTATTAGACAGATAATCTCCGAAAGTACTCGACCGATTGTTGTGAAATTTTGTACTTATATTAAGAATATCATGTAGATGGTAAAACGCTAACCAAAATTTGTCTAATCATCCCCACCACTAATGCGATGACGTCACTTCAAAATTGTACATAGTAAATGGGTTTTCAATTGTATAAAATAACATAGTCCTACACATGTAGTTTACAACTCCGAATCGACTTTTCACCCGAAACGTCCAGATTTTTGGAAAAAAAATCAAAATTATAAAACAACATTTTGAAATTTAATTTTTAATCTGCTAACCAGAATGCTTTGAAATGTTGCAGATGTTTTAAGGCTATAAAGAGCATCATAAATCTTTAGTCAAAAAATATTTGCTTACCCCCTCCAAAAACTTGATGACGTCAGCTCAAAAGTTTGTGGAATAAATCATATCTAAAATGTACAAAATATGATGAGTCTGTACTTGTGATCTATCACTCCATTCATATTTTTTGGATTTGCATATACAGGGTGACTCAAAAAAATTAATGAATGCGTAAATTTATTTTACTGATTTACTCAGAAACTACAAAACCGAATGCTTTGAAATCTTGCAGATGTTTTAAGGTTCTAAAGAGCATAATAAATGTTTAGTCAAAATATATTTGCTTATCCCCTCCAAAAAATTGATGACGTCAGCTCGAAAGTTTGCCGAATAAATCCTATCTAAACTGTAAAAATATGATGAGTCTGTACTTGTAATTTATCACTCCATTCATATTTTTTGGATTTGCATATACAGGGTGACTCAAAAAAATTAATGAATGCGTAAATATATTTTATTGATTTAATCAGGAACTACAAAACCGAATGCTCTGAAATCTTGCAGATGTTTTAAGGTCATAAAGAGCATAATAAATGTCTAGTCAAAATATATTTGCTTATCCCCTCCAAAAACTTGATGACGTCAGCTCGAAAGTTTGCCGAATAAATCATATCTAAAATGTACAAAATATGATGAGTCTGTACTTGTCATTTATCACTCCATTTATATTTTTTGGATTTGCATATACAGAGTGACTCAAAAAAATTAATGAATGCGTAAATATATTTTATTGATTTAATCAGGAACTACAAAACCGAATTCTTTGAAATCCACTGCGAAAAAAAAACATAATAGGCATGCAGTCGTCACGTTTCCGACAGCGAGGGAAGTACTGTCTAAACTCTTTAGACCAATTTTTAGTAAATATTTTTGTTCGCGTTTCTTTACCGCTTAAAATTAAATTCAACCCTTTAACATAAGTAAATATTGTTAAAGAAACCATTTTGTCTATAATTTCTTCTTCAATTTTGTTTTTGTGCTCACAGGTGAATGAAAAATTAATGTGATATCGAAGGACAGTTAAAATTTTGATTTTAATATTATTTGCCGAGGTAATGTTACTTAAAATGATTTTGGAAATATTATATATTTTGTTGAGGTTTTTTATAAACTCTAAATTGCAATATGTTAATTTTCGACGTGTTGGGTTATATTCTCTTGTACTGATCAATTCATGGCATGGCTCATTTTCGGAATATTGACCAACTATGTGAGATTTACATACTGAACACTCTAAATTTTTTAAAGTTTTACAGATCCAACCGGACACATATCCAATAACGCTTTGGTGTAAATTTTTTTCTAATTCAAATGCCGAAAGATTTGATATGTACCTGTTGACATTAAAAGTTTCATAAAAAATTTCGTTGTTTTGATCATTATTACTACACTGGCTAATTTTATCTATTATTCCACGTACATTAAATAAATCGGGAATATTTGTACTTTCACAA